GATGTAGTAAGCGACGTACGAAGAACAGGCCCCTGGTAGCTGTGGAAAGGCCTATAGCTAATTTAAGGCAAATGCAGATAAATGCCACATTTTAAGGGGAGCTGCTGATCTCTTTACATCAGTCTGAACTACATTCATTTTAAATGCTGCACAAGATGAGGAACAAATCAATGCAGTGGAAGACTAGGTGCCCGAAGCTTCCAAGTGACTCTAGTTGCACTTTTACTCCCTACAAAATGAACTTAAGACATTGAACACAAGCTGCAAATTTCCTTAAATGTATTTCCTAATAACTCCAGAACCCATTATGCATCAGCCAGTGTCCTTAAATACAGCTAAGTTTCCACTGACTCTCCTCAGCTAGTATTAGACTGGAATCATGAGACTTGGCTCTTTGTTTTGGGAAACACTGATGCATGTCTCAGACATGTAATTTAACCCGGTCTTGGTGCAGATGGCACCGTTGTATTCAGTGAAGTTGGTGATAGAAGCAACTTGCAGGTAACTTTTTTTTTTTTTTTTTTTCCCCTCAAACCTTTGAGGCAAAGTTGGGAAACTTTGTTTAAGAGACCTGAATGAATAAACAAGCAGATGTCCCAACATGCACTGACATCAAATGTAATTTAGATGAAGCTGGAAACAAAAGCCCAACACTGATCAGACTCTAGGTTTAGGTTGACAGACACTTTAATTGAGACATGAGTGACCCTTAACCATGTGGGCATTTACATGGACTCCCCATCTCTACTTTTTAACAAAATACAAAAGGAGAAGAAAAAACAAAACAAAACGAGTATTGCAGAGAAGCCATCTTCAAAGTAAGATACATTATTTACACTGAAAACAGAACGCTACGTCATTTTCCTTTTTCCAGGAGAGAGAAAAATAAAGGTGAAATAAATAAGACCAGAAATGCTTTTTCGTCCACATTCACAGCATGACAAATCATATTCAACTCATTAATGTCGACCCTGTGCGGTCAGAACAGACTGAGATATTAGTAGGTAATTCGGTGATTATTGCCAAAAGCCTTAATCTATACATTATAATATTCAATACATACTCTGTGTTTTGTTTAGAAAAAGGAGACATTTGGAAACTGCTACTTGGATGATTGTACAGCTTAAATACTTCTAGATATATATATATGTATACTTTAAACCCTTTTGTTCATAGCTTTAACTCATTGGCAACTTTGGAAGCAATGTTTTTGAAAGCGATGGATGAGCCGGATATCCTTTTGAACCTGACGCCATTGAGGGAGAGACGGGGAAGCTTGCAAACCTCCATCTCCCACTGCACCAGGTTTTCAGCTCGCCCGTCTCCATGGACGCAAAGAAGCAGGAAACTCTCTTGCTGTTCGTAGTCGCAGTTGTTGGCGTCGAGCACCTTGCGAATCTCCCGCATGATATCACAGGGCTCCATGGAGCTGGTGGTCCTCATACTCCAAGTGAATCTGAGGGAGCGGGGTTTACTGTCTTTATTTTCCCCTTTTTGATCCCCAGGTACATGGCGACTGTTGGGAGAAAGAGACACGGAGGAGAGTTTTTAGCCTCACACAGTATTCCTCCTGCATTTTACAAAGCAGGATCTGTGAATATATTTGAAAGAAAAACATTTTATTTTGAAAAAAATATGTTTTAAACAGGCAGAAGCAGCAGGAATTAGTTGGAATTAAATCATGTTTTACACAGCTCTGATGCATTTCCACATGAGATTTTCTAGCCCCAGTTTGTTTATTTTCATATGAGGGAAACAAGCAACATGAAAAAAAATCATTTAAGTCTCAGCATGAAGCTGAAAAGCAGTGAAACTGACAAAATGCAGTAAAAACTTAAGATTGCACTTTATTTAAAGAAGCAAACCTCAAAGGTTTAGATTTCTTTCTACACAACTTTTATCATCAGTCTTTACTCACCATTTGTTTGCATTTTGAACTCAAATATTTCACGTTTACTACATTTTGTCAGTGGTTTGATAGTGAGCAGCAAGTCTGAAAAACCCAGAAGACCGCTGCACTTTCTGCAAGCAACTTAAATCTGAGCCCACGTTTGACTCATTTCTTCAGGACCTACATCTCGTTGTTTTTATTATATTAGACACTTAGATTAGTCACACTTTTGTCCGCTTGACATTACTTCTAAATCTGGGATCCCATCTTTTTGCAGTTTTATATCCAGTGTGTTGACTTAATATTGAGTCAAGATGAGGTGCGCAAACTGTGATTGAATGTCATTCATTTAGTTTTATAATCATATAAAAGATAACCAGTCTGGCATATTGGACAAATTAAGCCCCTACGATATTTATACACAGTACAGCAGTCAAATATTTTTGAGAGTATTAATTAAAAGACTCTAGTTGAACAGATTAAGCAATAAAGGACAGTAATCACTGGATGAAGCTGTGATTAAAAGACAAATATCCACCATAGTCTTGTAAATTGTCTGTAATTCAAAGATATTAGGGTTAGTAATGTAAGTACTGGGTAACAATGAAAAGCAAAATTATCCTGTACGCATTAGAAATGGTTCTGTTCTAGTCCTCGTCTATATTTTGACCTGTTTTTGCTCCTCCCATCACTTCATTTTGAATTTAATTTTCATTTCTTATGTTCATTAGTTTCAAATTCATTTACATTGTAACCAATATGATCATTCAGATAATTAAAACGTTTCTGGGTTTTTCCACATATAAATTTTTATTCTCTGGAAATTAACTTGTATGTAAACTGGAGCTAGACACATGGCGGCAGTCTTTGAGCTTCAGGAGTGACAAAATAAACAAGCATGCCATGCTAACAAAAGTAGCTCACAAATACAGTGCCATGCAAAAAAAACAACAACAACAAAAACATTATGTCAAAAAACACTCAAAGACGAGGCTTTAAAGATGCAACAGTACATTTAAACGTCCCTGAAGGGAGTAAGCACAAAGTGGTTCCTATGCAGGGGGAAGGGGATTGAGCAAATTGGTGCAGACGGAGACAAACTGAAGCCTACGTTCGGAAGGGAAGACACACTGAACGTGGGGGAGGTAACCTCACCTTGAGCCCTCAAGTCTCCCGTTTCTCTCAAACTCGGTGGAGACTCTGGGGCGTACAAGAAGATCAGACGGGGAGGAGGAGTCAGGGCGGGGGAAAAAAGAAGAAACAAAAAAAAGATGTGGGTCTTGCATGACAATCATTTTTTTATCATTTCCAGTGAAAAATCATATTTAAAAATGAGAGAACGTGACGAATACTTGAACGACGACGAGAGCCACCACCAAAAAACAGAAAAAGAAATGGAAGCTTTGACTTCCATTGAAATCAACAGAGAGTCGTGAGAAAGAGAGAGGAGAATAAATAAAGAAATCAAACAAAGAAGTGATGACTGTTCATGTCCCAGACTGAAGCCAACAGGAGCACACACAAAGAAAAGCTTGACAGCGGTGTGTCGACGCAAAACAGCAGCAAAATAAGAGGAGATGCAGCCTGCAGGCCACATTCAGGTGAGGTAGGAAGTGAAGGCAGTGATGCAGCGCTACTTGACTGGACTTTATCGCCTCTCAAAAAGAAAAAAGAAAAAGATTTTAATCTACATCTGAACAGTACACAGCTAAAATAATAAAAAGCAGATCCTTCCACTGGCCTATAGGATGACAGGAGATAATAGGGGAGTAAAAAAAAAAGTAAAAAATTACAAGAAAGCTGATTATTGCTCTGCAAACACGTCCTTTGACGATGTATCGTACAGTAAATGTATATAAAATCCCAGTTTAAGCCTTTTAAATACACTGTTAGTGAACACGTGACCCATCATGATTCTTTCTATTTAACAATTTGACACGTGACATTTTAAAGACGTCTACTTGCATTTGGACTAATTATCAGAATTATTTGATGACTTTAAATATTACATTTAAAACAGCTTCTGAAATGCTTACCTTTCCTAATATTAACAGTAATTATTATTATTTTTTTTTAAAAGGCAACTGATGATTAAATCCTGATTCGAGCCGTGTGTGTGACGCACATGAAAACAGACACCGTTTAGAGAAAAGCTCCCTCCAACATGAAGCTCAGGCTCTCAAAACCAAGCCAAATGTTCACAGTTTGTCCCTGTGACCGAAGCTGCAGCACGTTCAGCCGCGCTGCAGAAGCGCGCTCGCTCTGATCGACAGAACAAAAAGCTCACCAACTATTTTTAAGTCACAAACGTGAGCCGTAGACAGGACTTTGTTTATATGTGCGGTTCTGTAATGGCTCTCCTACCAGCTAGAAGACAAGCTGACAAACTGGGCAGTGAGACGACATGCGGGACATTTTAAGGAAAGCACGATGAAATCTTCTGCATTAGTCAGAAGTAATTTGCCTTCCTTGTTTGTCCTCATACAAGTATTTCTATGGCAGGCATAATGAAGAAAATTCTTTACATAATGTGTTTCATGTGCAGTTTTTCCCCTCCATAAAGCAAAAATGACCTCTTTGGCTTACCGCTGGATTCATTCTGAATCCTTTACTGTTCCTGCACATCTTATACACAGGAAAAATTTATTTCCTAGCCTCACTAGACTCAAGACAAAGACTCAAACAAAGACTCGAGATAAAGCAGGGGATTCCTTCCTACTAACCAGGTTGATTTCACAGGAAAATTTACTGGATTGCAATAAAAATTTAGACCTCCTGCAAGATCTTTCGCTCAAAGTCTTGACTGCCAGAAAAGACTTTTTGGGAGGATGCTGAACGACTACAAACAAGAAAAAATGGCTGTACTGTAAGACAAGATTAGATTAAAAGCGAATAGTCAGTAATCTCCCCGTTTCTCAGACAGGATGGGTGTACTGTGTCAGGCTCCCAGCATGCATTGCAGCCTGCAGAACAGAAAACAGGACGGGGTTGTGGAGGAGGGACAGAGTCCAAACTCCTGACAGCTTGAGGGACTCGACAACAAGAAGACGAGCGAACAGACAGGACTGACAGCAGGTCCTGGGTCGGCCAGAGAGGCTGAGAAATCACAAGACCGAGGGGGGAGGGTGAGGCAAGGCGGGGTGAGGCAATGTAGGAAGGGAAGTCTGAAACTCAGACTTTAATCTCAGGAGAAATTGAGGGATGGAAACAGCCCCTTACTCTAGATCTTCATCTTCCTACAACTCTCTATATCTTCCGCTCCTGAATCTGAAAGAAAAAACGTGAATCTGAGGATGTGCCGGAAATCTCAGTGGACTCATGACAAGAAAAGAAAGAGAAGGAAAGAATATTTAAATGAATGGCATGAGGACAGGCTGAAAAGAAAAAAAAGAAAAGAAAGAAAAACATGGAAGATAATGAGAAGGAAGGAAAGAAGGAAAGGCTGAAAGAGACTGGAGGGCAGAAGACTTACTAAGGGTCTTTCCTCCCTGGGTAGAAGGGTTGGCAGGCCCTGTTTTGGCCGACTGCCGTTTGGCCGGGTCAATACTGACCCTAGGCAGAGAGGAAGAGCAGCAAGAGGTCAAGGTTAAAGGACACAAGAAGGTAAGGAAGACAAAAAACACACCGGGAGGAGAATGTGAGTGAACCTAAAATGTCCCGAGGACGAGGAAAATAAAGAAAACTCGTTAAGATCAGAGATGAGATGAGTTTTTAGCAGAAATGTACGGCGGCCCAAACCAGACAAAATGAAGTTAATGCCTATAAGACGAGTCAAAAATGGAACCGAGTAAATAAATAATATTGTTGGTTAAAATGGAGATTTATAAAAAAAAAAGTGTAGCTAAGACTTTTCATCTTCAGAGGAAATTGAACATAAGACAGTTTTCAATAACTCCACTTTTCAGTTTGTTATTTTTATGTCTGTTCTTTGTAGCATGAAAAAAAAGATCATGGAATTGTTCCACATTTTCTGATTAATCCTTATTTAGATAATTAATATAATTGGACTCATTTTTAAGCTAGTAAACTTACTATTTTTGCTCTTTGTTGTGAACTTTTGCAATTGATATTTTCAGTTATTTTTACTTAACAGCAAGATCTTAAAATTGATGTCGCAGACCAAGATTGAAATAGTGACTGCACCAGGGTTCACAGGAAAATAAAGAGAACTTTAAACTAAAAACAAATTAAGCTCAACTCTTATTTGAATACTCCATTATATTCATTTAACCAACTACACAATTTATTACTGTATTCGGTTTTATTTTCGACTCATCTTATAGTCTTTTGCTCTATTTTGTCACAGTGAGTGCGCCACAGAAATGAGGACAAACACAAAAACCCTAGTGAGACGCCATGAGTGGGAATGCAGGATGGTGATGACACCTGAGCAGAACCGACAGGAGGCTCTGGATGACGATGATGCTGCCAAAGGAAGATGACAGTTTACAAATCAGCCACCAGAGGGAGCCATGGGCCTCAAGACAGCTCCCTGAGAAGGCCGCAAAGCTCCTCTGATCTTTTGATATGTACATCAATGACTGGTTCAGTTTGGCCACAGCTACCATGCTGTTTCACAAGATCCGTTTGAGGAATTCAGTGTTTAATAGCCTCCTCTCTTAAATCCCAACCCCTATTGGAATGGCTGATCCGACTACTTGGAACGTCCGCAGGAAACCATCAGCATGTCCAAACAAAATAAGGCCTCCTTTTATAAAGTGGGACATTAAGAAAAGTTAAGAAAATGTCTGAAGAGACCCATTTACACTATCGTGTCACCACACACCCATTTTAAAACAAAAAACACCTTGTCGTAGTGAAAAAGTCTTACACATTGTTTAGTATGGGCCCAAATGCTAGAAGACACTGAACGGAAAGCAACGAGGGGAGAATACTTCCAGCACCTGCGTCTAAAACAACTTTCTGAAGACACAAAAATACTTTGAGAATTAGTATTTTTGTGTCTTCAAACATTCTCTGCAGCTTTTGCTTGCCTGACAGATAACCGTCAGAAATGAAGTGCACTGAAAGCAAAACATGTTACAGAAGTTTTCATTTTCTTCAGTAAAAACAACCTTGCTGATTTAAAAAGAATCACAAAATTAGAAAATATTTAACAGAGCATTTTAAATACGGTCATTTCCATGTTAAGTTTAGGAACTGTGGAGTTTTTATGTTGATTTATAAGTTGAAATCCTAATCTGTGATTTGTATTAGTACTAGTGCTGTCAGCGTTAACCTCGTTAGAATGACGTTAACGTCATTTTAACGAGGTTAACGCTGACAGCACTAATTAGTACATTACAAAAAATAAAATAAAAATAGCCAAAAATGGTCAGTAAATAAATGCTGTATTATATACCTGTGTGATCCCCCTTTTTTTTTTGTTCTTCTGACTTAAACTGAAGGTAAAAAACTAAAGCCCAGAAAACCTTCAAAGCAAAAATAAAAGGGCAACGAGACAAAGGAAGGCTGAGCGACGTGCCTTTTAGAAGACCCTTTCTCTGAACATGATGTTTGTACCCACCAAGGGAATGAACCAAGTCTACAAAAAACATCAAAGTTGCATTTATAAATGTACTTAACGGCTTAGAAACAGATAAAAATATAAAAATATAATCCTTGGTGGTTTCTTACTGACACAACTGGGTCAAAGAAAGTAAGAAAATATATATTTTGGTGAATAATGCAGCAGCAGAATAACCTACGATGAGTTCAGTCATTAAAATCAAGAATCAATGGCAGCTGTAAGAAGCAACCTCATGCATGCAATGACGATTGATTAGTGGCAAGCTGCTTTGTTTTTGCTGTATGGGTAATTGACTGATTGTTCAAGGAGTCCGGTCTGCTTTCCCAATCAGCCTTTATCCACCCACACCAACCGTGGCCACCCCGAGCACATTTACACACAGAGACCAGGTAAAACCCAATCAAAGCAAAAGGAAGTCTGAATTTGTATTTAAATTGCAATGCATTCATCTTAAAAGGAATAGTTTGCCATTGTGATAAATTTCAATTAGAAAGATGAAATGATTGACAGCTCCCTTATGTACAATAGATATATACGTGTATTAAAAATAAAAAACCAACACATCTCAGACAACGCTGTCAACAAAAGCTAACTGATACAACCTACCACCAATACTCAGTTGCTAGTTTTTTACTACACCTGGCTACGAAGTCTAATCGTCCCACAGTAAATCCTCCTGTCCTCGTGAAAGCTTAAAATTCAGAGCTTCTGATTCTTCTGTATATTCGTTCTGCAGGATGTTGATACAGCTTAAAAAGGTCCACAACATAGCTCCTCCAGAACAAACACCTCCATAAAACTGTTTATACACAAAACAGCACAGATAGCGTTGGGCGATCCAGTATCCAGGGCAGGACGGGGAGTTTAATTTCCACTTGAAACATTAAGAGAAAGAAAGTGGGCTACACCTGCATCACAGCCTCCTTCGCATACAAAAGGTGGCAGATTTAGTCTAATCATCTGACTGCACTTAATGACCATAAATGGGCGGATATCAGCCGAACAGCTAAAACAGTACTGAGACCTAATGTCTGCCCAGGTCTTTTTTGCTTCCCCTGCTTTAAGCCAACAGTTCTGCTGACTCATGTAAGCTGTTTGTATGTGTGTAAAATGAGTTTGGTTGTCTCCACATATGCACACTTATCTTAAACTCAAATTTAAAAAGATAAAAAAACCAAGAAGAGTCAAACCAGAGACAGAAACCGTCTCAATCTGAACAGGAACTTGTGTTCATGCACACAAATGACAAAACAAGCCCACGTCTTAAGTGTCATTTACAATAGTGAAACATAATGAGACAACAGTGAGTCTGGTTACATTTGAAATGAATCTAGTAATCAGGAAGTGAAATATCACCGCCATCACTGACCTATGAGATCATCATCCATCTCCACCATCTAAAAGTATAACCTTCATGAAGGGAGGACTGCACGCACAAGTCCTCTAATACATAACACATAAAACCAAACTATTCCTTTAAGGACAATCTTACCTAGACATTAAATTATGTTACTGTGGGTTACTTAGAGTCATGTCAGTAGACCTAATATGTGAGAACAGAAATCTGTCACGTTAATCTGATTGTAAGCAGTGTGTGTAAATGCACCCAGAGAGCGTTACTGTTCTGCTAAGCAATGTGTTAGTTCAGTGCCAGCAGCCCCACACGTCTAAAGAGTTTCAGAGGAAGTTGTTCTGTGAGACTGTTGTCATTGTTTTGGTACAGAGTGAAAGGCAGTACAAGAGTCCTACCTTTTGGTAAACCTGAATGACATGTTTCTACAACAGAATCAGACAAAGAAACAGTGAAAATGGTGAAAGAGAAGTGAAGGAAAGGGGAGGGGGAGATCGAATGAGTGAACAAAAATGGGGTGATTGGAATCATTAACAGTGAAAGGTAAAGATTCATTTGTAATTTTTTTGATTCAGTATTAAATGATTTCAATTCCTCATTTTAGGTCAGTCATTGCAGGTGGGATGTCACTGGCTTGGCTGCTGCTTTCAGTGCCTGAACTCGAGACTCTCACTGTGACAATATTAACCACAATAAGAAGTGCACAAGAATCTGATGTCGAGATTTCAGGGAGGCCTGAAAATGCAATTTAAAGGAAAAAGCTATACAAGACTAACCTCGATTCAAAATGTATGCTTTCACTTTGTTTTGTTTTTATTGGACTATATCAAACTACAAGTATAATAGTAACACATACAGCAGACATACAGCCCTAAAGCACGCGTAGTGCAGGAAATGATTACCGTATAAAAACATTACCACCCAAGATCTTTAAAGAATCATGGAAGTGAAATGATCTAAAATGGTCTGCTGTGTTTAATGAATAAAATGTTTGAATATCCAATCACAGTTTCTTTACGGTGTTTGTAGGTTTTCTGGCAGCAACCAGGCAGCGACACACAACAAATGTAGACTTGAGCATAAATCACATTGTACAGGACAGTGAAGTGTTCCTCCAGCATGTAATTATTTATCTTAACTCTACATGGCACTGTGCTGATTGGCTTCAAATCTGAACAGAGTCACAGTAGATTATACGGCACAGAGCGGAGCAGCGCTGGAGTCTTTCCTCTTTAAAAACATTAAAGCTTGAATATAATCACTTAAAAAAAAATATTGCTTTAGAACAAATTAAACCTTTAAACTAACTGAACAGAAAGAGCTAAACATCAACCCGTCACACTTCTCTACAAAATGTGCCGCGACGCTTTTCCTCGCCTACCTGCGGGTGAGTTTAGAGGTGAGTTTGGAGAAAAGGTTGCTGGTTCCACGGCTCCGGGTCTGAGACAGAGGCGTGGCATCGTGGGAGAGAGTAGGGGAGGCCGGCGGCCCGTTGTACGTGGCCGTGCGGCGGTCTCTCAGCTGGCCACCGTGGAAGGTGCTGCGGCTGGCTGTGCCTCGGGGGAAGCGGAGACGGTCGGGCGTAGTGGTGTTGGCGACGCTGTGGGTGGACGCCACCGGGTTCCTCTGACTGCCGGGAGACACGGCAACGTTGCTGAAGTGGACGGAGGGGGAAGTTACAATTAAAGCAGGTTTTACACCGTTTTTCCAGAGCAGACGTGTACTTCAACACACTGAACATTTCCACGTATTTGTGCAGGTAGAGTGTGAGGGAGCCAGATTATACACAGTCACAGCTTCTGTGACTGTGCAACATACTCGAGTACACTTCTGCAATGGAAAAATGTTTGTGCAGAGTCACTGCACGTGCCTCTGCATTCCTAAAATGTGTGGTCTGGTTATTCTACATGGACTTCTAAAACTGCCATGGGTTTCAAATACTGCAGGTTAGACATCAGCAGGGTAGGAAATTAAAATCACAACAGGACAAAGCCGCACATCAGCTGGTGGATTTAGACGCAACAGCCAGTCTGTGAATAACTAATTTGCAATACTTTTTTTTTTTTAAATTACAGCGAATGTTTTAGTCTTGCGACCACTGGCCTCACACAGCTGACCAACCACAAGCAGAGGCTGCATGTAGCACAGAGTAAGATCATCATTCCCTATAAACTGCTGAGCAGTTGTAGCCATAACTAACAGATTAGAACAGAGATGTCAAGCGTCCGTTGCCTTAGGGGACACATACAGCCCACTTTGATCTTAAGTGGGCCGGACCAATGAAACTCCCCTTTCTGTCAGTCTAAAGAAGTGCACATTTAATCTCTGAGGTATCTCAAGAAGAAGAAGTGCAATTTCAACAGCACATCTCAGTTTTACTAAGTGATAAAGAAATGTTGCTCTATTTAATGAAAGAAATCTTAGTTTATCTATTACGTTGGTGTATTATGGATGGTTGTGGGAGGTTTTCTTCAGTAAGACAAGCTGTGAAAGTTATGAAAATACAGTTAAAAGTCTAAAATGTATGTCCTCCTTCACATTTACCAAAGACCGCCAGTGGGCCAGATTGGCATCTTTGCTGGGCTATTTCTAGCCCCTGGGCCTTATGTTTGAGACCCCTTGATTAGAGCATAAGTGTTTATTTAAACTGAATCCATAAAGCAGTGTCTGGTAGTACCAACAAGAGGCAGATTTATGATAGAGAGATTATCAGTAAACAAATACAGCTGGAAGATTAATTTTATGCATTTCATACCCACAGATGTGCAAGCATTTTGTGCAAACTGAGCTCCAGCACAGATCTGGTCTAAGAACCCAGTTTTAGTGCCTCCCTTTGGATTAAACGACTAATGCGCCACAGGGACTTCTGTCCTCATGTGTCTGTGAGTCATTTGAAGATTCTTCAAAGCAGAAAAATAACAGGAGAAATCTTTATAAGATCATTACATTGTTTGAGACCAAACTGAAGAGTTGGGACTTTCTGGGAGCAGAAACAAAATTAGGTTAACCTATTAAAATGGCGGCAGGGCAAGGAAAATAGTATAAGTGAGGTCACATGACCAAAACATCTTTATGATAATATTTAAGGCCAGTGTGTGAGATTTATTGCATTAAATTCGGAGCAATTTTAGAACAGGAAACGTATATAAAGCAGCTGGAACCAAAATTCACCAGCAATGAGCTGTTAATTTCACACCCCAGATGTCAAGCTGTTGATCTGTACAATGAAACAGTGAGTTGTGAGCCTGATCACTTAAGAGTCTAAACAGAAACAGACGAGGGTCTGAGGAAGCTGGGACAGCAGGGGAGCCGTGAGCAGTGGGGGCTTTTCCATCATTTCGGAGACCAACAGGTGCAGGACCCAGACAGAGAAAATCAGGGGTCAAAGTTCACAGCAGAGGATGGAGGAGAGATCAGGAGCAGAGCTGTGTGAGTGCGTTACTGCAATGTCGCAAGGAGGGGGGGGGGCCCAAGCGGTCCTCTGGTTTATGGCTGGCAGAGGGATGATGGAAACATGGAAAAATATTATCACACACTGAGTTTAACCTATCGCTCGATTTCAGTGTGTAGATGCATATTTTTCTCCACTTCTCCTCTGGTTTGATCAGCGTCTGAAATAAACACTCAGAAATTTATCTGTCTAACTGACCTGCTTGGTCTCCCTGCTTCATTTATCTGGATTTTGGACAGTTTTGTGGAAATTAAATCTGGAAAAAGAATGTCTTTATTTAGCCACCTCCTGAAAAAGAAAGTGGCTAGTCCTAGTCTATGTGTCTGACTTCTATAACAGTGCAGTTACATTTCAGATTGACTACAAGCACCTTGACTAAGCCTCATTTTTAAGTCTGTTTATGTTGTGGAAAACTAATGATTCTTTTGATTCAGTAACACTAGCATACAGATAATACGTACTGAGGTGTTTTGCAGATCCGAGTATACAAATGCTTCTTCCTATCAACACCACCTCAGCAGTGTTACCAAACATCAGGTAAACCAAACAGTAGCACTAAGGCTCGTGTTTATATCTAAAAAGGTCTTCATTCTGACCATGAATCAGCACGTTAGACCGGCTAGACTTTGGTAGAGTAACAATAAAAAGAAGGAGGACATATTTTATTGAGGTATACCAGTCATTAGAGCAATTCATTTTACCTGCTCCTGCTGATGAGCATACATTTCAGACTCTGGCACCAAAAACCACTTTGCTTACTGTTTGTTGCAGGAAATGGTGTCCATGGTTTAGTTGTAGGGTTACAGAGTGTGAAGCTGGCTGGATGTGTGGGTTAGCAAGGGGCCAAACAGGGGCTGAGACATGAGAGGAGACAGACAGGGGGGTTTGGAGACCCTGTCGTCTTACTTGGGCGAGCAGTAGTCCAGAGCGTAGTAGGAGTGGGGCAGTGTGGCCCAGCCTGCCTGGCAAGCGTACAAAGGGCCGACAGTTTGATACCTCAGCCGCACCGAACTGGACGAGGCACCGAATGCAGCGGCTGCAAAGGCAGACGGGGGGCTAGTGGCACAAGCCATCTCAGTCATGCTGGTCATGCCGTAACGGGGGGGGGGGGGACAAAAAACAAAAACCCCACCCCGAATCACAAACACACAGGCAGAAATGGAAGATAAGTTGATGAGAAAAGGGGAAGTAAACAGAAAGAAAGGAGTAGAAAAATCAGGGACTGAGACAAAGGAAATCTTTTCTAGGGATCCCATGTAGGTCCTTTTCCCCTCTATTAACAAGAAAAAGGGGTTTAAATAACTTCAACCAGTGTGAGTTTGAAATACCATACAAATATACATTTTCACACAGGTTGAGTAGAAGAGTCTCTAAAACAGTATTTATCTAAATCTAAAGAACTACATACAGACTTCAGGACCCACAACAATGATCTCACTAACAACAGTTTACTGACAAGTGGGAAAACTCAAATTCTGCTCCCTGTACTGATTAAGATTTACAATCATCCTCCTCTCACCTGTTCTCTTTCCCGTTAGGAATGACGGAGAGGCGGTCTGTGTTGTTTCTGTCACTGCAGACATACGTGTTCCTCCTGGTCATACCCGCAGATGCAGTGTTATTCTGCAAACAGACAGATGCATTGCTTCAGTGGATGACCTTTTTTTCTTTTAATGAAAGGCTCAAAGAAACATGTGTTACAGCAATTAAAGCACAGTGCACTTAAATTCAGTCTATCATGCTGCCAATCTCACCAAATTCGAATGAGTTTTGTTTAAAATTGGAAACAATGCGGCAGACTTTAGAAGTAAAACTTGTTTCCTTTGTACTGTACTGATATGTCCCTCGTGTCTTTGATCTCTTAAACATTTGCATTACTCGATTGTATATTAGAAGTAGTACTCGTCTGTCACATTTTGTATCGCCACAGAGGCTCACTGTGGTCGATGTGGACAGGTGGATTAATCTGAAGTGACTCACACAGAGACTGCCACGTGATGGTTTGGTGGCTTTAAAGTGATAGAGAGCAGCTTAAAAACATTTCCTAATCTCCAGACCATGAGACTGAATCACATTGTTAAACAATACTCGGGCATTGTTCGTTGTGTAAATCTGGACAACTACATCGACACACAAAACCAGAGCTCAGGAGTCGATTGCTCACTTCTTTGATCTTTTGTTTTTTTTCCCTTACAAGGTGGGATCACATGTGATGTCACCTGTTAGAGGAAGCTTTACCCATTTATGCATCATTTTCTCACAGACGCATCTGAACACAATAAAGTCTTTACACCATTATTTCCCCTTAAATGCAGCGGATTTCCCCAACGCCAGGAAGTACACACTGATGTGTAAAATTGGAATTTCCTTTTAAGTAACCATGACAGCCACTGTCACTAAACACTCTCATTTAGCTTAACCACCCCCCCCCCCCC